TTGATAATACAATGAGGGGAAAAGACAAAAGTCTCTCGCAGGGCTGGAATTTTTTTGTCACCAAACCAGGGTGTTTTTCCCAGTAAAAGTCACATTGAAGTGTAAACGACTTCACTATTTTGTCACCAAAATGTGCCAGAGTAGACAAACCCAAAGAAAAGCAAAGAGAGCAGAAGGCGAGTTCTGCTCACAGAAACTGGTAGGAACAGGGCTGATGACAGCAGTGAGAGAGGGGTTGGGCTCCCCAGCCCTGCTCTGGCTTCCCACTTGGTCAGGGACAGGACCTCTGGGAGAACAAGATGGCCTTTGATGATGAGGGACACTGGGGGCTTCTCCCCCGCTCCTTTCTGAGGATGCACTGGCTTCACTGACATAAGCCATAGGTGAAAGGTCAGGGTGGGATGCGGGACTCTTGGATAACCAAAAAAAGAGGCTTACGCGGCTTTTCGAAAAAGGGGGGGTTCCTGAAAAAACCGTGTCCCAACTACTTTTGAAAGTGAGATCGGAAAGTCCCATGGAATTTGCATATCCTCTTTCGAAACTTCAGTGTAGTCTAGACGAGCCCTAAGTGTGATTTGAGGGTAGTGAGAGTGAGCTTCCCCTTCCCTCTCCTTCTAGAGCAGGTTAAAGCAATTAAAGTCATTTGTGCTCATTACCTCGTGGTCCCAATCCTTGTTAGGCCAAGGTTAGTTGTACGCTTGCAACATTGATCGTCTATCCATGGCTTAAAACCTGGAGGGGAACATGAAAAGGGATCATCATTACGCACACGAATCATGTTCTAGCTGGCGCCACACCTCTGGGACATATTCAACCACATGGGCAGAGAGAGCGAGTCATTTCACCATAGTTTGGGCAACTTTACAGTGATTCCATATAGAATTAGTTGTCATACTCCATCACTGAGAACACAATGAGTAGTGGAGATGGGATATTAGTAAGAGTTCTAACACTGCTTATCTCGTTAACACAGCAGAACTGAGAGCTCCTATTGGCGAATTGCTTACACCCACTTTTGCTCTATAGAATATAAAATGGGAGACGACTGAAATACAAAGTAATCCATGTTAGCCCCGGGAGCCATTGCTACACCTGACAAAGGAACCGCTGGGAGCAACCACTGTTTTCCTGGTCATTTGTGTGTCTTGCCTTTTCTTCCTCTCCATGTGGAGAAAGATGTCTGGAAGTGGGAAGCTGCTGCCCGGTTCTCGCTGCTCCTGCTGCTGAGTTGCTTACAGTTGGGTGACCAACTGTTGCAGCAGTTTGTTGCTGCAACTGGATTGCCTGCTGCTGTTGGTTCTCCAGCAGCCACTCAAACACCTTCCCCAGATCCATGGCTTTGGTCTTACTAGCCCCCTTCCTCAGGTTCTCTATAGCACATTCCTATCTGGCCTGCCCACTCATCCCCTTATCTCAAGAGAGGGATCGGGCTAGTGCCCACATTCTCCATCACATTGTCGAGGGGCACCCTACTCTTGTAAAGGATTTGTTTATTCAGTTAAAACTGGGAAGGGCGGGGAATCTCACTCATGCACTCAACCACACTTACAGTCCCAGGCAGGATGATAAGGCGAGCAGAAGGCAGTTCATGTTGTTTGATCTTCCCAAGTTGACTCTTAAGCTGGTCTGCTAGCCAGGCGATCCAAGCAGAGGGCATTCTGGGAGATTCCACTTGATGGTCAACCAACCGTGTCTCTGTCCCTCTCTCCTTTAAGGATCAGCCACATGCAGATTCTGAGTCTCTGGGCCTCTTGAGGCCGTGTGCACACCTTGCTAGGGCTGTGTGCACTGTTGTTTACTCCTGCTGTTTACCTCAGAGTTTTCCCGCCTCTGGTGTCCACCTCAGTCATTCTTCTGCTCACTCAGGGAAGGGAGGGGGGTTAACAGATAACACTTCAACAGGTTAGGGAGCCGAATAACATCATTTTAACAGATAACACTTCAACAGGTTAGGGAGGCAAATAACATCAACAACAGAAAGAGAACAACATCCATTTTAGCTCTCCCCTTGCTCCTCCTCTGCCTCCAACATTCCCCTCGTTGGGAACATGCTGCAGCTGAGCGAGAAGAGCTTGCCCCAGCATGTAGAGGAGGTAAGGGTGTTCTCTTGGTATCCGTTGCTGGGTTGGTAGCAGGCATTTAGCTCAGCCTAGCTCAAACCCAGCCTGCTGGCAGTGCCATGTCGGCTCAAATGCCCATCTTGCAGCTTCACAAAACAATCAGTCTTGGATTGCAGATGTAAATGGTTTGGGATAATCCACTGCTTGTGTGAGGGGTGTGTGTCTTGGTCAGAGGTAACCCAGAGTACCTCCACAGCGGCACTGCCCTGGGCACAAGCTGTCGTGGGCTTGCCTCAGAAGTCTAGCGTGTTATATAAGGAACTGGCATTTGTGGGCCTTCAGGTCTGTGTCTACCTCTGCCACAGACTCCAGGTGTGCCCTTGGGCATATCATGTAACCTCTCTCTGCCTTCATTTCCCATTCATAAATTTGCTCCAGTGACATTTGCCTTCATCACAATATGTAGATTAGGCAGAGACTGCAGCCCAGCATAGAACCAGCTGACATGACTAAATACATTCTGTCAGCATTTCTTTGGTGTTTGAAGGGTCATTTTTACATAGTGCTCAAAATTTCTATTAAAACCGCCCATGTTAATGCAGGTGCCTGTTATAATTGTAACAGACCGAATTATGCTGGGAATACACAGAACAGAGACGGACACACACATCGATAGGGAAACAAGTTTAAAATACATGAGTTTAACAACATGATGCACTGAAACGTCAGGCCGTCCCAGACCTCCGAGGCATGTAGGTGCCAAACTCTCACTTAAATCAGTGAAGTGAAGCTCCTAAATACCCTAGAGAATTGTGGCTGAAATGGCCAAGTCTGGGCAGTGATCAGTGGTCAGAATTGGGTAGTATTAGCTGAGTGGCAGGAAAGTGCTTGTGTCATTTGATCTTCTCCCCCCCCATTCTTACCCTGTAAGAAGTGGATTTAAGTTCAAACACACGTTGACCTTTTTGTTTTGTTACAGCTCAGTAGAACATACGGCCCGATGTTCACGTTATACTTGGGCTCCGAGCGGGTTGTGGTACTGTATGGATATGAGATTGTGAGGGAAGCTCTGGTCAGTTTCGGGGATGAGTTCAGTGGAAGAGGAAGAATGCCACTATTTGGAAAAGCTACCAATGAAAGAGGTACATGTAAAGTAACTTCAGCATATAGGACTGATATTCTTTGTATGATGAGAACACAGTTAAGAAAACAAAGCGGCAAGAGCCAGAGTTTCATTAATAAGAAGTAAAAATTGGATAAATACACCTGGAAAGAGCTCATTCCGCATCGCACCACTTGATCTCGGGCATGAATGGGTCCTGGTGTAATCCACACACCTAGTGGGTGTAGTTCACTGTCCCATGTAGTGGTACTTAGTCAGAGAGAAGATTTACAGTGAAAGAGAAGGAGTGAATTCTACAGCCTATGTCGAGGCCCAGCTGGCTGCATAACGTCTACACTCCACAGGTCCCAGGTCCAAATCTGCCTGCAGGTGGTTTTGCTAGTATCTCACTGTAGGTTTCTGAGAGGCAATGGCAGGGCCAATGTATGGATTATAGTCAGGAGAGCAGAGCTGGGGAGGCAGAGAAAGTCAGAACAAACCGTGAATTCCTCTGCTCTTCCTCCCCTGTCCTCACCACATAGGCATAGCCCATGAGCAGGGGTGGATGGTTTTCATTATTGTTGTATTTGGGGCTGTGATGTAGTGTCAGTAACTTGCTGGTTGCGTGCCTGGGCTGTGGGCTGAGAATGACCCCTACTGGCCTGTGTCTGTAAGCACTGCCCAGTGAGGGGCACCTTGAGGGTCCCCATGACAGTGACCGAACCGGTCCTACCAGTTAAGAGAAGGGACGGAACAAAGGAAGTGAGTTATGGGGGAAGGAGAAGTCTTGGGCTGGAACCATGAAGGAGACAGACTAAGCAGGGGGCTGTAATCTAAGGGCTCAGGCACCCCATCTTACGGGGGCCAAGGCATCCTGGCCCAGACTCCTGGAGCCACATCACATCTATGCTGTGTTGTATCCTGGAGAAGCAATAAGGAGTCTGTTCTTGCTGCTACGGGGCTGCAGGATCGGAGGAACCCCGACATATCGTCACAGGGGCTCTCAATGGTTAAGGCTTTTTACTAGTGAGAGAGAAGTAAATACGGAACTGCCAAGATGCCCGTTTTGGGAAGTCTTTTAGTTGACCTATACATGAAGTGAGCTGTAGTTATATGAGAATCCAGGTGACTGGGCAAAAACAGCCTCCAGCACAGTGACGTAATTACCCAGAAGAAAATACACTTGCAAGGGACGCTATTCAGATGGCCAAAGCAAGCACAGCCAGGCTGGGAAACACTAGAATAAAGATGCCCTGTGAACATGTGCAGCTCTCGGAGGTAATGAGTAAGTGAGAGCAGCAAGAGCTCGTCATCTCACATGCAGTAACCAGGACCAGCCAGGCACAGGTGCAGGCCTCATGATGACGAATCTTTGCAGCATTTAGCTGCCAAAGTCTTAGTAAGTCTCTATTGTGGGAAATGTGATTTTTTTCGGGGGTGGAAGTTTAAGGGGTTCTTTTAGCCCTCCAACAGGATAAAGACCCTAGCAGTGGTAGCTTCTGCCCCTCCCTCTGGCAGTACCAGATGCACTTAGCACCTGTCTAAGCAGTGATGCTTTAGCCTTCTCACACTGGTACCTCAGGTGGGTCAGTGGGTCTGGGACGGGGACCAGGGGCTAACCAAGTTCAGAGCAGGGCTGACAAGTACATGGGGGGCGGGTGCACACCAGTCCAGTTCATCCCAGCTGTGTACCGTTCTCCAGCCTTAATCTATGCTTCGGTTGGCACCAGGTGTCCCAGGATGTGTGCTGACAGAGGGCGATGACTTGGTGGGCACTGAACGTTTCCCATGATGATTAATTTTTGTGCTGCATTAGGGAGAATACAAGGTGCAAACACAGTTCAATGGAGTTCATTCCTAGTTTGTCAGTATCTAGTAAAACTTGGCCCTAGATAAACTTGTTGACTCAGAAGAATTGAGAGCCACTATTGGCTAATTGTTTGCCACTGTCCATTTTGCAGGCACAATATATAAAGTGTGGGCTCTGACGTATAAAATATTCCCCGGTCAGACCCAAGAGCTGTTGCTACTCGCGACAATGGAACCGCTGGGAGCAACCACGGTGTTCCTGGTCATTTGTGTCTCTTGCCTTCTCTTCTTTTCAGTACGGAGGAAGACGTCTGGAAGTGGGAAGCTGCCGCCCGGCCCTGTGGCTTTTCCCCTCATAGGAAATGCCCTGCAGCTGAATTTGAGGAACTTGCCTGACTCTATACATAAGGTAAGGGTGTCTTCTCCATATCCACGGCTCTGGCTAAGATGGGCGCTAAGGAAGCCTGGGGAAAGAAAGCGCTGACATTTCTGGGGATTGCGCAACTCGTATTGAAGACCGAGGTTACGTCTACATTGCAAATTCTTGCACAAGAAGATATGCAAATGAGGCACTGTGATGAATATCGCCACACTTCATTTGCATACCTAATGAGCCGCCATTTTTTCTCAGCAGGCTTTTGCGCAAGAAGGAGCAGTCTACACTGCTCCTTGTGCAAAAACCCACTCTTGCGCAAGAGACATTCCGCTGTTTATGTAGACGTAGCCTAAATGTTCGATCCACAGAAAGATTGGTTGGGCAGAGTAAGAGTTAAATCAGGGGCCGGGAAAGGGGGGCGTTAAAACCGGCTGTCCCACACCCCAGGTGAATGCCATCCCCACTAAGCAATGTCGCGGGGGGGTTGTTTGGGGGAGTTAAAACTCTGGCTGTCAGTCCTAGCTGGGGCTCCTGCAGAAAGGCCATGCACACCCCAAAGGCAGCAATAAAGGGGACAGCTAGAGCCCCATCACCAGGCCTCGGGCTCTCTTTCCTGCCCCCTGCCAATACCGCACTGGGATGTGGGGGTCTGGGTCTGGCTGTCAGCCCCAGGTGTCGGCAGCAGCTGCCGGTAAGGGTACCAATATGGGTCAAACGCTTACAGACTATATCGATGAAAATCCCTGTCACAGTGCCGCCCTTTCTTCTCGGTCGGTGCGGCGCTGCTTTCAGACTGCTCTGCTGTGGCTTCAGAGTTGGATGGGGTCTACGCATTTGTGGGGGTGGCCATAAAAACCCCAGACACAAAGAAAGGGGGCATGGTGTGTGTCTGATAACCACTGGCCTAGAGAGGTAAGTGTGGGGGATCGCAGATCTATATTTTGGACTTAGTTGCTTACTTCCCTTTTTAGGAGTAATGAGATCTGCTCACGTTCTTACCTACATGGCTATAGTAAAAACGGATTGGTTCTTTGTGTTACTTGTTTACAGATCAGTGCGAAGTACGGCCCTGTTTTCACACTAAGCTTTGGCTCGGAGCGGATTGTGATACTGTGTGGGCATGAGGCTGTGAAGGAAGCTCTAATAGATCAAGGGGAGGATTTCAGTGGAAGAGGAAACCTGCCACTAGCAGACGTGGTGATCAAAGGAACAGGTACGTGTCTAGGTGCTGCGGCATGTCGCTCGGCTGTTCTCTGGTATGGAGATGATGATCGAGAAGACAGCTGGTCCTCCATTTAGTCCTGGTCTTTGAAGGAGTCTAACTTTAGACCCCTCTGTACGTCTCAGTGTATTTCTGATTTTTTACATGGTCCCGCTCTAGTTACTGTGACCGTTTACGCGGTGCCAGAGAACAAAATGTGGCCATTGAGCATGACCACTAATGGGATTGTTTGCCAGTTCATAATTGCTATTAACAGCAAAGAGATCGAGGTGCGGGGTTTTGTTGCAAATACATATCGGCGTTGGTTAGGATCTCTAGCAGAACATCAATGCAACCATGTCTGAGTTCATGCTGAGTCTTTCAATGACCAATCTTTCCTTTGTCAGCCAACGGTCAGGGCTCCCTATATCTGTCCCTTAAGACCGGCTGAAGTTCTTTTAAATTGTGCTTGGTTCTGTTACAGCAACTGAAGGAGTCAGGTTAAAGCTTAAACAGTTACAGGTTTATTGAGGAAGCTTATAAATCATATGGTTACAATGGCTATTGCTCTATTTCTTAACTACTAGCAAAATATAGATCTTAAAAATGGTTACAAAGAAGATAAAGATAGAAAAATAGAAATAATGGTACCAAGTAACAGCTTACTCTTTCTATGTGTACACTTAAGACAGAGGACCACATCCAGGTACAATTTTTACCCCCTTCTGTGCCTCTCGACTCCAGCATGTCAGGCCAGGGCCGGTCCCTCAATTCCTAGGAAAGACGAAAATACGAGGTGGGCGTCCCCATAGAATCTCGGGAGGTCAAACACCGAACCCGACCAGCAGGTAGAGGGTAGAATGACACTCAAAGTGAGTGTGTGCTGGACCCATCTTTTATACTCATGGGGTCACGTATTTCTCTTTCTTATCTGTCATGCCAAATGGGGCTGGTCTGTCTTTTGTGAGACCAGTTCTTACAAGGGAGTTGTGAACTTAATTTACACTTGTAAGAGAGAATTGAGATGATTAAATTGGAAGTACTGGGGATTCTTTTCTCAGTGGGAAATTCCTCTCCCAGGGACTGTGTGTGTTCAAATCAACATGGGTGCCAGCCGGGGGCAGTTCTCACAGCCTCGAGGCCAGCTTATTGACTTAATCGCTCTCTCTCCACATATCTGTTTTTCCAGCTTCTCAGGATCAGATGACCCAGCATAGACTATGCTGATTTTATTGCTCTGTCCTGTAAGCTTCAGCTTCAGTGTGTGTGTTCAAATCAACATGGGTGCCAGCCGGGGGCAGTTCTCACAGCCTCGAGGCCAGCTTATTGACTTAATCGCTCTCTCTCCACATATCTGTTTTTCCAGCTTCTCAGGATCAGATGACCCAGCATAGACTATGCTGATTTTATTGCTCTGTCCTGTAAGCTTCAGCTTCAGGAGAGAGGCAAATAAGATGGATGTGATAT